TAAGCCCATCATTAAAATGTATCTGTGTTCCCAACTCGTTCGAGGTGTATGCACCAAGACAGTTGCACATTAATATTTAGTATTTAAATATAATTAGCTACTTAAGCATTTTATCTTGACATAATAATCTATTTTTTTGTTTTAAATTTAAAAATATTTGTTTTAAGTATATATCGTGACTTAAAGCTGACCCTCATCCCTCATGTTATAATGTGTATTACTAAAGTACTACATCTATACATATAATATAAATAAATATATTATGAATATAAAAAAGCCGACTGCATAAAAGCTAACTAAAAAGATGAAAACAATTTCACAAAGGATATAGTATTATGCAGTCGGAGACATACAGGTTTCATCTTTGCCGCGAGATGTATGTACATATGTATGTGTGTTAAGGGATGCTGACAACGGTAAATAATAAATAAAAATAAAATAAATACGTTGTTAATGTTAACACACAGCACCATCTAGTCACATGGTAAGCTACGAGGCCTGTGTTATGGATACCAAATAATTGATTCACAACACATATATAATTTTAAATATATACATATTATAGATATAAACACCCATGACCGGAGTACAAAATTTCATGCACATCACACAAATGAATGCCCCCAGCGGGACTCGAACTCGCGACCATCGGCACAGAAAATAAGTCACTACAAACTAAGCCAAACGTGTCGTCGAAAGACTACTACAAATAGTAGTAAATTGAACTATTTTTCCTTATTTCTATATTCAAAATGGCCGAATTTCCATACAAATTTTTATCGCCCATTTAACCCCTGAGGAGATGAATTATGTAAAATGCATCTTCGTTATATAAACAACTTTTATGCAAAATTTCATGCATCTAGATCAAGCGGTTTAAGATGAGGGTCGATCGTCAGTCAACGAGTGAATTAATTTAACATTTTTATTAAGTACTAGCGGCGTGCGAGGTCACTCTCGCTTCGCTCGGGTTCGCCTTTAGAAAAGCACAAACAGATCTATCCCAGGGAACCGTTCATTTATCTGAGATAAAAAGTAAGCTGTTGTTTGACCGGCAATATAAGGTATATCAACATGACGAATTTGACTAAATTAGGTGCATAAGTTATGTACTAAGCTGTATAAGTTACTATAGTTTTTAACTATCCCACGGGAAATCTTTAACTTTCTGGGATGAAAAGTATCTAAAAAATTGAAATTTCATTTAAATCAGTTCTACAGTTTCAGAGTTTAGCCCTTACAAACAGACAAACACAGGGAAACAAAAAAAATAAAAAAAATTGGATTGGTTCTATTTCTCTTCTCACTTCTTCCCGACTCGGTTTTTAGCATTTTTTTTCTATGTACAGACATTCGACCTCTACAGTTTTATTACATCTATAGATATAAACCAATTATATATCTTGTACATAGAAAAAAATGCAACGCCTGATCAGTTTATGTATAGAGATAGATAAACAGAAAAAGATATATATTTACATATATAAAGAAGAAGATTAAAATATATTACGATGTGAACTTGAAAGCCGATACGTAATAATTCCTTTGCAGATGGTAAAAAACCATTAGCAATGGTACCGGTATCATTAAGTTATATTAACATTTATTTAATCTTTGAAGCAAATGAATGTTTTTCACAAATATTTTTATAATAACAATAAAATCTATTTGTTAATCCTCGTTCCTTTCAGTTTTCAGTTTTCTATTAAATTATTTAAGTTTAGTAATTAACTAAAAAAAATGGCCGAAAAAATGTCAACATTTTTTAAAAATGAAATACTATGTCAAATATATGAATAACTACTTATGTATAATTAAATATTAAGTCACAGACAAAATATAATATTGGATAATTAAAAACATTTTTAAAAAACAAGCTGGACTAATCTAATAATTTAAAACAGATACATAATCCCTTTATTTGTATAATAAAGTATTATTTACATATCTTAGTATTTATAATGATATCAGATGGTTAATTCTAATGTAAATTTAATATTCACCTTAAGGAAACCAGTAGAAATGTCAGATGCACACGTTTTTAATTACTGCTAAACAACAGTGTACTTATTTTAAATAAACAAACACAAACAATTTAATACACAGCAAGTTTTCAGTCACTTTTATTTTATAGTTCCTATATTTATGCTAAAGTCGGTAACTAAAGTTAATTAAACGAGTAAGAAGTAAGAACACAGCGGCCGCCGTCAATGAATCTCTACGTACGACTGGCTCTACTTTCAGTTTGAATTGTGGTAACATTACTGGTAATGAGTTTTAAATTTTTTAATAATATTTTCAATAAAATAACTTATTTTATTGAAATTCTAACATTGAAATATAATATTAATTTTGTAAATAATTATATACCTATTGTATAATCTATACATATAATAAAATTTTAACTAAGCCGAATCTGTATATTAGAATTTTTTTGGATAATGTTATTGAAATAAACATTATTATCGATACAGAGGCTGAATCTATAGTTTTTAGAATTTTTGTCTGTCTGTCTGTCTGTATGTCTGTCTGTTACCGCATCACAGAAAAACCACTGGAGGGATTTTGATGAAATTTGGTATGGTGATAGCTGATTATCAGGGTCAACATATATGACACTGCAATGTAAGAGTAAGTATACTAATATTATGTAAAACCTAAGAATTTGGTTTTTTGTCATCTGAACGTGGGCGGAGCCGCGAGCTAGTAACTAAATATAAATCATGTTTTAACATCAAAACTAAATTTATATGATTAAAGTATTTTATTTTACAGAGCCTCTAAAACGAACATATAAACTCTAAAATTGTAACTAAATGCCATTTATTTATATTAAAAAAATAATTCCATTTGAACTTGAACTTAAACTAATATTAATTCTAATAATATTATTTTCGTTTGAAACTTACGAAACTTTAACAAGTTCTTAAACACTCAATCCGTAGTAAATTACTTGGGGTTTTAATCGTTAGCCATCATTAATACATTAACGATGACTACTACCATATATTATGCAATTAAATTATTATGCAATAAATAAACATCACAAAAAGGTAACATGTTTCATTAGATTATGCTAGAATAGCTCTAACAACTGTGTATTGATGCCAGTTCAAACATAGACTGAGTTTGATAAACACCTTTTTAAAAAAGATCTAAAGTAGATTTTAAAAAAAGATCTTGTTTGAACATAGCATGTTATTTGGGATCCTCGCTAGACTTTAGGTTATACATGTACCTACTACCTGTTAAGTGTGGATCCTCAATTTGAAAGTCGGATCGTCTTTTTCATATAGGTATTAGGTTTTTCCCGCGGCTCCGCTCATTTAGTTAAATATAAGATTTTATTTTAGAATATCACACAAATCTATTACATATATATACAGCCGTTTAAATTAAAAATATTATACGTTATAGGTATTATGTAATATTTTTAATATTATAGAAGTATTGAAACCGTTACAGTATGCGTGATTGATGCGTGTGAGTGATTGCGTGAAAAACCAACGAATTCAACCGCACACACTTTCGTATTTATTATATTAGAGTGATCCTAATTTCTCGTCTAGACTAAGTAAAACGGGTTTAAAAAAGTATGCGGGTTGCTCCTAGTACCTCTCTGACAGCATAGTGGACCGTGGGAGCAGCCCCTTGGATGTGTGGTCGGCTTTGGCAGATCTGCCATCGGGACGTCGTGGTTGTAGTTCGTAAGCGACCATGCGACACCCCATAACCATGGGAGGTTCCATTGGGTTTTAGTGGGTAGTATTCGGTTTCTAGCCAGTGAGCTTCATATACCATAAAAGATATAAATGTCATAGAAATCTATTTACCGTTTAAACCATTTGTATTTCAATCAGGAGCTAGATTTTTACAGCTACTATACGGCTGTAGAACCGGAGGTCCTGGATTCAAGTCCCGGGTCGGACCAAGTTAAACTACTGAGTTTTTCTGTTAAGATATTCTCAGTAGTAATACCTGGCTTGTGTTTATGTGTAAGAACAAAAAATCACCATCAGCGGTTATTTATCCGGATTCAGTAATATATTAATAGTATTATTAAGAGGCTTCATAATTTAATCGCTTTACATTCCAGTTTCACACGTTCACTAGACTAGGTTGTGAGCATTACTGATTAAATACCTAACGATACTTGTATTGGCGTTAAATAAGAAAATTGACTTTTGAGAATTGGCGTTTTATAAGAAAAACACAATTATTAAATATCTTTCAAATCTTCAAGCACTTTTTTTAATTAATTCATTGTCTTCGTTTGATAATACTATACTAGCCTACACGCATCGTTTATATTATTTTTATTAAAATGTATAAACTTAATTCTTAAACTTTATAATATTAAAAAAGTTAATTCCTTAAATAAAAACTTTTTTAATAACATCGCCATTAGAAGTAGATTATTTCTTCATTTAAATAAAATCTAGTAGATAGCCACTGTCTTAGCTTTACCTAACTACGCATATATTTGACACTTTAAGTAAAACTTTTTTTGTCGATTTTTTGGCGGACTTAACACACTATATCTGGTTTAAATGATTTAGCTTCAAAAGTATGATATATATAACTATTATTTTATAACTAGAGAAGAGTCCCAATAACCTTTGACATAACAACATAATCCATTACCTTAACATGTAACTAGCATACTTACAATATTTCTTTACAGCGTCATTTTACGAATATATCTACACGCCTACAGCTTCTTCTGATTATTATTCAGGAAACCGTTTTAAATCAAACAGGAAACTTTTTGACATATTATTAAAAACTACACTAACGATAATTTCAACTTTTTGACATTAAATTAAAAAATTACAATAAAGTAAGTTCGTATATTCCGTTGCCGCACTGAAAATATTTTCATTCATTTATTTTAATTCCATCACAAAGGAACCTCATTCTAGATTACATTTTTAAACAGTCGACACGCAATTAAACGTTTGTCAAAGTAATTCAATCGTTTTACCGTCACTTGTTTTTAAATGTGGAAACCAATAATATTGGACGTCGAGTGCATCGTTTGCAACAAAACGTTGCAAAAAATTAAACACGATCCGTCCGAAATATTGCGGAAAATGGGTAAGATAACAAACAGACGATCGAGGACGCCCAATTGGTCTTTAGAAGAAAAGCAGTATCTACTTGAACTAATAAAACAGCACAAAGAAGTGGTTGTTACGAAGACTAACAATGGCCCTAACCATTCTGAAGAAAAAGATGTCGCGTGGAATGAGATTTTACGCCAATTGGCACACAAATTCGGTGAAAAATTTTCAGGGTTTTCGATTAAAAAGGTCAAAACACAATGGCAGAACATGAAACGCATCGCTCGTGAGGAATTATCTCTCGTGAATGGTACAGCAATACAACAATGCACCAAACAGTCTTTAGAAGTGTTCAATATATTAGATTTAGTCAAAGATGGAGTCCTTAAAAAGGAAAGTGATAGGTTTAATGAAACTACTTTAAGTACTAACATTGAAATTAAAACAGAATGTATTGATGAGTAAGAACATTTCTACTTAGTTTGACATGTATTTATTTATAGTCAATAGACATTAGGTAGCAAGATAGTTTAAATTAAAATCTAACCTAATAATGATATTTAATTTCAGTTGTTACAAATAAAAAATATATATGTACTTTATGGTAAAACTTATGGTAAAACTTAATATTGTTATTCTATTTTAATAGAGATATTACTGAACTTGATGAGAGCAGTATAGAGATGAACGAACGTCCGGAAAATATGCAAGAAAAAAACGACACGGCTACTTTAGAATCTTCTGAATCTTCAGTTTCAGAACAAAACCATCTTGGTGATGCTGAAATTTCTGAAGGATTAGATAACAGAAATAACACAAGATCTTCTTTTGCAATGACGGAAACTTCATATTTAGATAATAGTTTAAATAGTACACTTTTTCACAGAGAGTTTCAAGAATTTTTAAAGTAAATATATTTTTATCTTTTTAAATAGACCACATAGTACTTAGTAACTTTTTTACCTATTGATAAATTAAACGATGTTTTAAGGTATTCAACCACAGAAAAACAAATGAAAATGGAATCTCTCAAAGAAGAGCAACAAATTGTAAGGGCTATGAGAGAGACTGCAGAACTTAATAAAATCATAGCTGAACAAAAATTAAAACATATTTTATGGATAAAGAAGCGTGAAATGTCGTAAGTAATTTATGTACTCGAACATACCTACGTTAAAAATATAATTATTTAATCAAAATAGCTTAAGAACTTATTCACCCATTTGTTTTATTTAAATTCCAATAAATTATAGCGAAGATTACGTGGTTTAATTATTGATTATTGATTGATTACTGTTTACATTACATTGGTTAAAGCATTAACATTTTGCATAAGTGCATTTTTTAAACCTCACGGCACACATAAAATTTCGGCATTTTTTCTTTTTTAATATTATAGCACAGTATCTTACAAATTATATGTTTAATTTTCTTATTTTTATAAGAAATATAAAGTATTATAATTTATTTTTATAACGAGGACTATTTTAGTAGTAGTATGTTTGTGTATAATATTATTATTATATTAGATTTTTTATAAAAAACATATATAAATAGAGCGCCATCTGTTAAACACATCCACAAGTAGTTAGGAGTTATATGTAATCAACTTTAGCGCATAAACGAAACTAGCACCATCTATAGATACTTTTTAAAAACAATTATAGGAATAGGAATCGTAAAAATATTTACGGAAAATTATTTTTACATCGTTTAATGAAAATATAAAAAATAATTATACATACCGTGTATAAACATAAATATAAGAGAAATGAGAATACATCCTAAACCCACAGCACCATCGACAATATAAAATATAGATAGTAAAAAAATATGCACAACGTTTATAATCTATTACTGTTTGTCATATAAAAAGAATTTTGTTCGGGAATAATCGCGAAAACAATTTTATTTATAGTTACTGCCATATTACTATAATTATAAGAAATCATGAGTTTCCTCGTTAGAACAAGAACTCCTATTTTGCGGGGACTTTCTAGTATTAGGTGAGAAATTTACCGGTAACGCATTACGCAATCCTAACCCAACAAGTAGATACAAATCGAATAACAAAACTAAATATCATGTCTAAATTTGTTACTTATTTTTAAAATATTTATTGTACGCCATATCCAACGCGATGTCACATAACACATATGTTTTATCCTTATATAATTCTTAATGTTTTGTTTTCAAGCTCTCTATAATTTAAACAATTTTTGGCATTTCATAGCACCTACTCGATTTCATATTAAAACATAATCTTAATATTATGTTACCATAAACTATTAGTAACAAAATTTTCTATTACTAATCAAGAAACAGTGTAAGCGATGCTACATTGGCCTTAACACCAATTTATAATAGTAGGTTATTTATAATTTAAGTACAATTAATTGTAAGAATGTAATAAGATATATTGAATAACTAAAAATATCTCTAAAGGATGTATTCTGGAGAACCTGGCTCTGGAGCTGGCAAGGGTGGCGGTGGTGGTGGTGCCATTCGTGAAGCAGGTGGAGCATTTGGCAAGATGGAAGCTGCAAGAGAAGATGAATACTTCTACAAGAAGGTACACATTTGCTAATTTGAAAAACTACATTTTAATCTGATTCTATAAACATTTTAATGAAATTTAACATAAAAAGGAATTCGTAATACAACATATCATGGAACATACACACAAAAAAATTGAAATAAATTCATCCAAATTGATCTTCCCCTTTTTTAGGGGATAGATAGAGTAAATTATTTGCATTATTTTTTTTATACTTTCAGCAAAGAGAGCAACTGGCCAATATTAAGAGTCACTTAGACAAAGAAATATCCTTCCACCAAGAACAGATCAAGCGTCATGAAGATGCTATCAGACGTCACAAGGAACAAGTGGCTGAAATGAATGAGCAGATCAAATAAATTTTATATTAACATACACTGAATTACTACTTAAAATATGGAACTTAAACTTTAAGATGTCAGTTGTTTGTTGCTTTTATTTACTTTAGGAATTAGTCCTTGACATCAAAATATATTGTACATGTGATATTTGTTGTTTTATTTTAAATTTTTTTTCTCTTCTAAATCCCATGCTAACTAGAAATAAGTAGCTCTCATTTGTTACATTGAAATCAAACTATTAGGCCAGTTTCCTAATTCCTATACACTTGACAACGGTCAGTGTACATACCACATGGGAATATGAAGGGTTTTAAAATAACTTCTAATTACAACAATACAAAATAATTTCAAAATGTGTTAATAAATGAATACAATTTTGATATAACATTTTTTTACCATGTGCAAATAGTAAGAATTTATGTCACAGCAAAATTTAAAGATTGAATCTACTTTTACAGAGAATTCTTGATATTTTGCCTTTGTATTATGTTTTAATATTTTAATTACTTCAAGGCCCATACCTCTAATATAAGTTTGATCTACCAGTCACAACATTATTCTTCAGTGTTATTGTTACCAAATAGTTTTGACTTTTAAATGAACTTTAGTATTAGTTACATAATAAGGTGCCATCATTACATTAAAAGCATATTTCTGGTACCTATACAACTTACAAGTAACATGTTATTTTTAGAATTTAACAATTAAAAAGTAGTATAAAAAAATTTGAGAATATTCTTAAGATTTTTTAATATTGAGAATTTATTAATAATGAGTCTGACAAAATCCTTAATCAAAATAATATGGTTTGTTAAATTATTTTTGCTACAGAAATTAAAATTCTATTTTTTTTTCAATTTACATATGTAGGTACCTATATTAGTTCATGTTATATATGTAGCAATATAGTCTATAATATATATGTATCAATATACTATGGTTATGCAGGTTATAGGTGGTTATAGGTATTAGATGAGGAAAACCGTCTTCATGTATGAAAAAGTGTCTATCTAAAGGCGTTAAATTAGGATGGCGCTACTGTAGCAAGTGAATAAAAAATGCTAAAAGATATTAGAGTAAGATAGAGAAGCAAAAAAATAAAATAATTTGGATTACGTAAATAGAAAAAGTTTTTCATAAAGCGGTTTCATTAACTACTTTAGTGGCCAAAAATATATTTTTTATAACACTCCACTGTTCACTCCGCCTACAATCTACACTCTAATTCATACCCTACTCCTGACCTATGCTAGCGCCATTCTGGTAGGGTCTTGAACTATTATTTTTTACTTTTTTACTATTGTTTAACCGCTTACAGCCGGACACCTTTCCAACTTATTCCCTGACCGTAGTAAAGACCGTACTCCTTACTTTTACTCTCTTATATCTAGTTAAGGTACTACCTAGTACCTACAAACTACAAAGCTTCATCAGAGTTCGGTTCTGATGAAGTACAAAGGAAAATGAAGAGAGCCATCTATGAGCACATAAAGAAAATATATATCTTGAGATAATACCATGCGTGTCCTATAGGTGTCATTGTTCTACCAAAACTATATAAGTACATTGCGATCAGTTCGTAATAATAAAATTGTACCTACTTCGTAATATCGTACCTACCCTTGTATTTTATTTGTTTCTAAATATTCCTTAACATAATTATCTTGCTTAAATTCCAATAGGATAAGTATTTATTATTTTACATAAATTTTTTTGTACTTGCGATAAATATAGAGCTAGCTAGTTTTTTGTCTTCTTGATTATAGCCATCTGTTTTCGCAATTAATTTTTGAAAATCTTAAAAAGCTAAGCAGTATACGTAAAAAGAATTTAGTATTAATTCTAAAGCTCACCGATCCGTAACTCAGTACCAGCGTTGCCAATACCAATTTATGAAATTTCCCGAAAATCTAAGTCAAATTACTCAATTTGGGGACGAAATTATACTGATTCCCCAAAAATTCACTTCAAAATAAATTTAAGAAATAAAACAAGTGGCTACTATTTATTAAAATATTTTTTTTTATCTTTCATATTTTTTGCATTTTTATCACATTTTTTCTATATTTTTGTAACATGAATTTTGCTCGATGGCTTTTTAATCCTATAGCTTGTTGCCATTAAAAATACAGCAGTATTCATTATAGTTAGAAGATAATGTAGTTCTCTGTTTTTAAATTTTTATAAACACTAAATTTTACAAAATAAATACACGAGCATTTTAACATTGGTGACAGAATAAACAATGAAGATAATTTTAATACCGTCTAATAATCCATAAGTAAAAGTTGTTGAAGAAATGTCTGACCTAGCCTGGGTTATCGATATTCAAAATCCCCACATTTTCCTGTTAAAACACCAATTCCCAAAAAATCTCCAATCAACTTGAGATTCCCTGCAGTTTGGGGAATTCCAAATTCCCCACAAGTTGGCAATGCTACTCAGTACTTTGTTATTAGTGACACAATAAATAAAACTAAGGAATGCAGAATGCAGACAATCAAAACAGATAGGGATCTGTGTTTCTTCTATTATAATTCTCTTGTAAAAGGGTTGATGACCTGGCTATTACCTTATTTGGTATCTCATATAAATAGAGCAACTCATATTTTTGTTTCTGTGTAGACTATTTAAAGGATACCAACAATTTCGGTAAGCGTAAACGTAATAAATTGGAGTGCGTGACTAGCTTCATCGACCATCGGCCGTCGACCGAAGGGAAGACCCACATTAATGAAGTTAGCTACGTATAGCGTTCTGCGAGAAACCCGACGTCGTGAAGTTCGCGCCAAGCGCCACTCAGTTTACTACAAACTCAAATCGACGACGCATGTCGCTCTTCGCTTTATTGTGGCCGTGTGTATAGTGTTAGTGTAATAACAGCAAATAGTTTTGTGCTGTGATATTTTGTGTGGTGTCACTCAGTTCGTGCTACCAGGTTCATCAAAGTTGTTGTGATGCAGTTAAGCATATTGTTATGGCTGTCTTGTGTAGCCCTCGCAGGATATGTTCGAGCGACAGAGGTAAGGGGACCGTCTTTGCGCGGCATTCCGGCTTTTTGTTAAGGGACCGGTATTGTCATCGTCTTACGTTCCTCAAAAAGAACTCATGCTAGTTCTTGCGTAATTTCAATGTCAACACGAGTGTCATTTCACTTATCAATCTAAAATATTCTTAATGACCGTGAATGTAACGACTATAGTTGCACTTCAACGCATCGGTGCGTCCATTATTTTATCGCCTTGAAGCGATCGTCAGGTAAACAATCGTTATCGAGGCCCCTTCCCATCGATTGATGTTTTTTTAGTGTTCGTATTTTGTGGTGGACTGGTATGTATTATGGGTAAACATGCGAGTAGTTGTATGAATGAGAGCATGGTTTGATGCCGGATCGCCCACGATTGGGAGAAAGTACGCACTCGTTCGTCCAGTAAGGCAGGCCGCAGCTGTGTTCCATGTTCTATGGACCTATTTATGTTTGGTTTTAGGGCGCGTGGCCGTGGCAGACTTCTTTATTGCCTTATGAATCATGCCAACACTGCATTCTGTGTTTTTGGCTTCGCGTCGTGTTTTACATAACACAGCGATGTTATTTTACATAGTTGAGTAATATATAATTTTACAGTTAATTACTTATTATCAAGGTACAAATTGTTCCAAATTTTATGTAAAATGTTTGGAAAGATCAAAATAAAACCATTATAAAGTTCTTATTTAATTACATTCCTATTCAAAATATTCATATAATTGTTAAAATTAATTGAAAAGTTATATTTACCAAATATATCAGTGGTGTACTTGAATTTAAGTAGCACCTAACGTAAATGTTCTTAAAATATTTACGTCTAAACAACACTGCCGTAATTAAACTTCATTCGTTCTTATCTTATTTTTATTCAGACATTCATTTTACATCATACTTATAAGCATCACAAATTACAATTATTTATATTCTCTTCTCATGTTGACAGAAAGAACATAAATAATGCTAAACACTCTACGACCCCCGCTAGGCCGTCCCGAAATCGGAGTCCATGAAATACACCGAACACATAGACTCAGTCAGTCTCTGATATAACGTTCATATATTGTGGCAAATAAAAATATATTAACACCTCCAGGTAAATTTCTAAGAAATTAATTAAAATTCTAAGAAATCTATTGTTAACTAACACGCCGGCGTGTCCGCGGTCGTGGAGGGATCGAAGTGCGAATCGTGTCTGTGGCCTCCGATATAAAGACGCCCGATGTATACACTCAAACCACTACGTTAGGCGATCGACTCAGCCCTCAATATATGTACTCAATAGGCTGTGTTAGATGATCATATTATTATGCTTTGTAGTAACATGCCCCGGAATAAATATCTGTTTAGCCATAAAAATGTTTACATCATAATAAAATCGAATCTACTATCTTGGATTTGGAATACAGAGAGAGCTAAAACCCTAACTTTGCATAATTATACTCGTACTATAGTTTAAACGAAATACCAGCTATTAAGCCATTCCACTCGATAAGGAATCTCACTCAGATATCTCAATCAGTTATCAGTATGGATCCCAAATATATATATATATATATATATATATATATATATATATATATATATATATATATATAAACTTAATATCAGAAAAATACTCTACGGTAATTAAATAAGACTATAATTTAAAATACAAATATATACAGAGCTCAATGTTAGTTTAGAACTTTTCTCGTACAGGACAAAAAAATTTGACCAACAGAAATTTTACATTTACTCACTTTAACTCTTAACTCTACCAGTTTGTGAAAAAATGCTCAGAAGAGCTGACCTGAGAACGGGAATGTTGACCTCTGTTAACGTTTTATTATTATACTAGTGTCCTTACGTGCCCTTCACATGTATAATATTCATAGGGCAGTTCTCGAAAGGGATAGTTTCACAAATATCCACATACAGGTAGCTTTTTCTCTTGGTATGTTCATAAATTATAGCTTCCCACTCCCTAGATCACTCCTTTTTAAAAACT